GCAAGGCAGACTCTGTAAGACCCCATTCCCCTCTGCTTGGTTACTGTGGAGAACTCAGCCTCTAACCTGCAGAAGCTCTGTTGGAACTGCACTGCAATATAAGTCATGCCTCCTTCTCTGCCTCCACAGAGATTATATCTGCATGTGTCCTGAGGGCTATCTCAGGCTCACCTTCACAAGTATATCCCTCCACTAATACCTCGATTGTCTCAGCCCATCATGGTCACATCCTGGAGGATGAAAACTAGTAAATTACCAGGTTTAGAAATTTTGCATCAGACCCCCCCCCCTGCTTTTTTCTCTCCCATTTTCATTTAATAACCATGTTACAGTGTCTTCACCTTTTGGATAACTGTGTCTCCCCACACCCCTTATGTATCAGTGCTGTACTAACCTTTTTACTCCTTGTTGTGACTATTTGGGGCTCAAACCTCACCAGTCAGCTCAAGAGTGATTATTAATGCTAATGTTGACCATGGTGGTATGGTATTTATAATGTGGCTGGCCCTGTATTTGTATCTGGTTTCATCTATGTGATGAGTCTGTCACATAGAAATTATTTCCATTCAGAGGATGAAAAACTGGAGCCTAAAGTGGTTTTAAAAATTACTTAAATTTGTATGGTTAATCAGAGATAGACCTGGCTACCTTGTTTCAAGGCTAACACTAGTACTGGGAATAATTGCAGCTAACATTTTTTTCTTCCTCTGTGTGTGGTATTTTGCCAAAAAAGGTTACTTGATTATTATATTAAGTCTTTAAAAACTACTATGAGGCAGGTGAAGGATGTGATATAACCTCGCATCGTAGCATCAGAGGCTGAGGCAGGAGGATTGTGAATCTGAGGCAAGTCTGGGTTATATAATGAGACCCTTGTCCCCTAAAAGTCACCCCATTCTAGTGGAAGGAGAAAACTAAAGATGAGGATGAAGATAAACAAAACAGAGACTAGAGTAACTGCAAGAAAGCAGATACACCAAAAGTTGGTTCCTCAAAAATGATTAACAACATTAGCACCCTTTTCCCAGATTAACTTTGAAAAAAGGAGATGGATATTAATACAATTTGAGACCTCACTATCCATTCCCAAGAATATGAAGAATTTCAAGATCACTCAGTAGTTATATGCTAACTGTCTAGTGGCCTAGATGCAATGGACAAATTCCTACAAACCTGGATTCTTTAGAGATGGAATCGTGAAAGAAACAAAATTGAATAGCTATATAACCAATAAGATTGGATCAACAAAAATTGACAAAATTTCACAGACTTTGATAGTAAAAACACTGAAACTGGATAGAAGTCCA